CATTTATATAAGAACATGTTGAGGCTAACTTGGAAAAATCTATGTTCTTATACGCGGGTTTTTACTGTATTTCATATCAATTGTTTTATAAACTGTTCTCGACTTAGAGTAAGAATTGTTGTATATATAATACGGAATAATTAAATCTGCTGTGCAACTGTGTATATAAATATTATTAGTGTACTTTAATAGTTGGTGATCTATCAGAAATCGCGTAAAAAAAAGTATTATTTTGGCCTCCAGAAAGGGTCTTATAAGTCCTTATTTCAACATGTGTCTTACTACTATGAACCCTGAATATACGATAAGAAATAAGAGTAAAATTGGGTGAAGGTATTAATAATAGTCATTCAGTAATAACGAGGTAATTATGCTGTCAAAGATGCAAGCGTAGATGGCTAGAGTATATGATGCAGTTTTTATTACGCAAGTCTTGTAATTTGCACTAATAATCCCGATAGATGGCACTGTACAAGTTAGTGTCTTCTGTTGGAAGTGGTTATGCTGATAAAAACATTCCTGATCCATCGTTCTTAATATACAAGACACTCCGTTATTATTGCTCGCAAATAATAAATCAGTTAGGTAAGGAAAGCCCCCAACTCTCGAACTGTTTAAATAACATGGCAACGAATCAACTCCCAACTACTAATAAAGTTTGTGAACATGTGAACTATAAATCCGATGAAATTATTCAATCAGCTCCCAACTAGTTCTGTCGCTCGATTTTGCCGGATCATTCGAGAGACGGCGAACGGGTAATCGTGTAAGCATGGCCTGACAGCGTCTGCTTGCTTGTGTTGCGTAGGAGGGAGACCCGCGCACGACGTCGTGGAAGGGAGCCGCCGTGATGGCGTGTCTCGACACTGCTCAGGAGCTCTGGATCGGACGCAAGGAGTGGCAGCACTTCGGCTACCGGTTGCTACGTGAACGCGCGTCGTTCCTCATCGAATAGTCGCCCGCGTCATCGCCGACTGTCGATCCGTTTTGTTCTCCGAAGTTGAGTGTTAATTTGGTCATGTTTTAAGTTAAAGCAAATTTATCTGGGAATGTCTTCCTCGTGGAAATTTATCGTGCTGTCACTATTGCGAATCATTTGCGTGTAGTAATGATAAGTTTGATCGATGGATAGAACAAAACATGTATATACTGTAAATAAAAGCTAACGCTGCACCTAAGGTAAATAAACAAGTGTCAGTTGTTTCATTTAGAAATTATTTACAGTTCATTTTCGACTTGAATAAATGCACCATCTCATAACTGCAGATCACCACAAAATTCAGAAGCCTTTGTGCTAGGAAACATCTAAACTGGGTAAATCCGCTTGTCACACCTCATGTGCATACCAAATTCGATTTCCTTCGCAGCATAATTCTCCTCCCTGTACAAGAACCACCCAGGCAAATTTCTCAACTCCACACAGATGACTTCCAATCTTGCAACATGACTTCCAATCTGCACGGTAGAATTTGAAGGATGACACACTCGACCCCCTGCAACACTATGCCCACGCTGAACGGGTGCGAAAACGACGACTAGTTCACTGTCATCACCCACGGAATCTTGTTACAGGAAACAAACAAGTACAATCCCTTCTCCTTGCTCTCTCTCCCTCTACCTTCTTCCACGGTCGCCGCTCCGTTTCCATGGCTACCAGGCCGTCGCTCTCTTGTTCTTCAGTTTCTTGGCCTTGCCGACTCGCACCTTGTGTTTCTTGATTGCTCTCTGGTTCATCCACACCGGATACTGCCCATGCTTGTCCTTCATTGTCTTCGGGTCGTATTTCTTGTCGACGTCCATCGAGGCTGCGCGGAAATAAAGAACTATGACCGTCGATGAAATGTGCATTTTATCACCAATACATTCGCTCACAGAATCAAAATACAACAGCAACTAATCATTGGTGTGTAGGAATCGACGTTAGTATAGTATGTAGCAACTAACTTTAGCAACAGTATTCATGTTCAATCTATCTAAAATCAAAGGAGTGCAAGCCTATACTTAGTTGTGTGCAAGAATGGACTGCACTACTTTTATCTATAATCTAATTGGACTCCCACCAAAGAAAGTGGATGGGGATATTAATGGGAAAAGAAGAGGTGAGATTTGTAGATATTTGCTGTAATTTCCTACCAGTTTTCTGTTCATCTTCTACTTTCTTTTCTCGCTTGGGAAGAACTTCAGTAACGACTGGAATGAATGACAAAGAAAGATATCAGTGTCAGTAGTATGCCTACCAGATTGTATGCATTTCCAAAATCAAAATACATTGTACTATGAAACGATATACATTTAAGATAAAATTATATATATATATATAAAGTAGTTATTGATCAACAACCCCACACAGAAACGAATAACAACATGGGATACAAAATTAAAATCTCACTGATCAACACGTTATCTTTTTCTTTTATATCACCAGCATAAAATACCATGCTACAATAATGAGTATGCAGTATATCACATTAGTACCATATCTACCCATTTATATAGCCACGGATGCTTTTGTACAAATAAATTTCAAATATGCTAGGAAGTGATTCGCGCATTATTTTAAAACACACTTTTAACTAGTTCCTCATTTTCGATGAGTTCCTTGTGTCCCTTGACTATCTTCTTAAGTTTGACCAATTCCTTTGGGGCGTTCTTCTTTCGTTTCTCCGCACGCTGCTTTCGCTTCCACTTGCTGCGTAGACTTTTCGCCATATTTTACCGGTCAGCTTTCCGTGATCAGGTCAGAAGCTATGTGAGTGGCTAGGCTAAAAATAAAAATAAAATAAAAATTAGCACTCTGTAATTGAGCAAATTAGAATTTTAAGCTAGTAGCTCAGTTTCTGCAGGTAATCAAACTTCAGGCAAAATCAGCGGTACACAAAAACCTGAAGTAAACATCATGTGTCGTGTACGGACGGACACGGCGACCGTACACATGCCAACCCCCGGGGGAGGGGGGGCAATCCATATATATTGCATGGTAGGTATGTCATGTGCCGCGGGGAGAGACCCCCATTTTCAACCCTAAACTTCTGTTCCAGTGCATCGCATTTTTAAGAATATCTCGTTCCAGAGCATCACAAGTTTAGTTACCATGCAGATCTTACATTTTTGCCGTTCCGGAGACCCTAGTTTTAACATTTCCGTTCCAGTGCATCGTACTTCAGAATACGCTGAAGCCTGGCCATGAAGGCATGCATGCAACGCATGCGCATATGGATGGATGGATGGTCAGCTGCTGCTGCTGTTCTTGTTTATTTACATCCGATGATGAACTCCGTGTGTATGTTTTATTGCCGCTGTGGAATATGTGCGTATTGCACGTGTGATTGTTGTGAGGTTCTCTGTGCGTGTGTGCGTGCGTGCGTGTTCATCTCTGTCTGGGTCATGTTTTTCTCTCCTGTACATAATACAACAATTTTTGGTTCAAGTGCTACAGCATAGATTTTAAAGCAAATCACAGTTCCCCCACAGTTCTGGAGTGGAGACCCCTTACATCAATATAAAAATAAAATTATATCAATATAATAGGTTAGGGTCATGGTTAGGGTCATGGTTGGGGTTAGGATTAGGGTTAGGGTTAGGCACATTGGTTTTATTGGGACCCATGTTCTCTATCCTTGGGCCGTTAGGGCCAGGGTTAGGATTAGGGTTAGGGTTAGGCACATTGGTTTTATTGGGACCCATGTTCTCTATCCTTGAGCCCGATGTGTCCCCGACAACACATTTACCATCACACCACAGGCCCTTGGAGGCTCAGTCGTCAAGCTCCGCTTCGCTCTTATACTCTTCTTTAAACTTGCGCCTCCAATGGCCTGTGATCATAACTCAGTATAAACACATCAGTGTTTCATAAACTATAAATATAATCAGGATATAAGAGCATAAATACTCACCAGTACTCAGCACTAGGTACTCAGTAATCACGACTCACGAGGAAGCGTGTTATGCGTGCTTTACGTACGTGACGTCACTGATGTAAACGAGCTTTGACGTCACCACAACCGGTGTATTTGTCCATGACGTCAGACGGGGGGACGGGGACATTTGAGTTGTGAATCATCTTCCATCTACCGCGAGGTCGCGGTGAGCGCGAGGACGTGAGATAGATCTAGATCGAGAGGTGTAAAGTACGCTAGTCTGACAAGCGCGTTAAATCGGTGCATCATTTGCCAGCAAAGCTAACAGAACCCTCATCCTGTGTGTGTGTGTGAACCGTATGTGTAGTGTGTAGTGCGAGCAAGATATAATATATACACAGACGAACTAGTGTGGTGACAACGCCATAAGTTACCATGAGTTTATTCCACGAAGCCGTAAAATCCTTGGTGGAAGGCAAGTACCTATTCTATACATAGTCTGGATATAATTATATATGTATATATATTAATATATATATATATATGTATATATATCAAGAGCTAAATAATACCTCTTAGTTAGCTCTTGATATATATATATATATATATATATATATACTATATATATAATATATATATATAATATATTCGCATTTACACATTATTAGCCTACA